ACAGATCTAAACGGACCAATGAGTGACGACTGAAAATACCATGCAGAACAAAGAGAGATTCTCCTGACTGTACTTTAAACTTTTCATCAGACAACTGTTCACCATTTCCCACATGTGCTTTAAATCTCTGAGGATAAAGAATCTGAGGGTCAGATGGGTTTTTTTATTTACCGTGAAACCAAATTTCTTTCAGGTAAAGACGGAAAAAATGAGAACTCATACAAAAATGTGTAATTAATAACTTAGTTTTATGACATATCACATCAACATTTGGGCATTTTCTGTTATAATGTATTAATTTATCAGCCTTCTTGAATTAAATCAATATTATAAATTGGTTTCTCTGACCTGATTGAGCTAGTAACGATCCCTCCTGCCAATAACCTGCCTCTAATCTGTGTGTGAGGGTGGAGCCGCTGTGCGCAGATGTGGAGGCCTCCTCCCAGAGACAGATGTGTGTTTGACCTCCGATGTTGCTCCGTGCTCGTCCGACTCTGCACAGAATCACGTTTATTTCTTCATGTGAGGGGCCCCTCGGAGCCCCGGCCCCCCTTTACATAACGCCGCTCCTCCCTGTGAGCAGAGATAACACGAACTGGAGGTTCAGCTGCAACCCCGAGCCGTCTGCTTCACGGAGTTAAATCTTCTGTTTTGTTTTGATGCTCCTGTGAGCTCGGGTTTTAAGAGAGGAACAACGCGGCCGTCCCGACAGCGGCCTGACTCTTCTTCTGTCGGCCCTCTTTGACGATCTCCTCGTCCCACACCCTATGTGCGGCCCTATGAGCAAATATGGCGCTGTGCTGTGAGAGGTCGGCAGTGCAGGGGATGAAGAATGTAGGACAGTATGCGGTCTTAACAGAAACCTGAGAACAGAGGTCACATACAGTTCACCACCAAATTAGCTCTTTTATTCAAACCAAATTAGCTGCAGAATTTAGTGTCTAAATGACTATAAGGTTACAAAATTTAACACAAAAATCATACTTGGGCTATGAAACAATCATGCCTAATGCTGGTCTTACATCTACTGGCTTTTCAAGTCACAGACAAATTTCTCAAAATCCCAAGAGTCTTGGTGGAGTTGGGGCGCACTCCTGTGATCTCAGTCGTTTGTTTGGCGTGCGGTGGTCTTAATGTGAAAACGCCATAAGTATGTGGTGTGCTGTTTGGTTCACCTCTCTGCTCTCCACACACTACAGGATCAAGTTATCAGTGTTGCCGGATGTATGATAACTATCGTATTTGTACCATCATTTTGCCCTCTGAACGATGTACGCTCAATAATTGCAGAAAAGGCCAAATGTACAATAATTAGGCAATTTCAACTAAACATTGTATGTGATTTGAGAGCAGCTAATCACATCAGCATGACCAATTACATTTCATGTTTTCATGGCAGATTTTGTCATGTTTTCTTCACGTTTCCAATTAATTGATGTGTAAAAATTGACTTGAGGGCCACGTTGAGGGTTGGTGGGGGCTGCATGTGGCCCGCCAGTTGCCCACCCCTGCTTTAGGTGCATTTGTCACAACGTTACACTGCAGCAATTACCGCCTGTTTCATGGCTACGAGCTGAAGAAATCTACTGGAACAATTCAGCAACACTTAACGTCTTTTATAGCCCTAAATATAACATATAGTTTCCAAAGTTAAAATAGACTGGAGAGACCCTTTAAGAGGAGAGTGGGGAGTAAAACTAGTGTTGTTTGTTTTATGATTACATCGATTAAATTCTTAACACATGTGTACACGCACACACACATGCGCACACACAGACACACACACACACACACACACAGACACACACACACACACACACACTACTATTATTATCATCTGTCAAACTGTCGCAACTACCACCCATAGCTCATGGGTGTATCAGACGAGTTGGCAGGGAAAGTCAAATATTTGTGTGTGTGTGTGTGTGTGTGTGTGTGTGTGTGTGAATCAGGTGTACTCTGTGTTTCGGTTACGTGGAGTAGAGTGCTGGTATTTATCTCCGGAGCCAGCATTCACTCTATTCCTCTCCTCGGGGACGTGACTCTGGAACTCCTCCAAGGACACGGAGTCAAGCAGCGTGCCAACGCCTCGCCAGCAGAGCTCTTTCAGACACCCGCCGCACAAAAGAACAAACAGAGCAGCGAGTTCTGCAGCAGATCAGGTTGTAGGTGCTGGGACTTCTGGGAAACTGGGGAGTGGAGGGGTACGTGACAGATCCCGTCGGGGGGGGGTTGGGGGACTTCATTTTTGGAAACAAATGTGCACGCGTTGAGACGAGGACTTCTTCTCTTTAATTATCCAGCAGAAGTCAGACTCCACTTCTCTGAGAATGATTCAAGTTTTATTGTGAACCGTGCCACCATGTAAAAAGGAAGAACCAGGAACTGAGACCCTAACCCGGCATGTAACCGTCTGCACTGACTAATAAGAAACTTCAACTACATTTTCATCCATTTCTGATGAATTAAATCCAATAAAGCTGCCCTTGAAATGTTGCCTGCTCTTACATTTGTTTTTAAACACCTTTTCCCCTGAAACCTAGTCTCATTTGTTTCTTAAATACATCTCTATTCCTGCAGCCGTCTGCTGAAGTCCTCCTAATAGTTTGAACTTTTTAGATCCCAGTTTGAATATTGCTGTTTAGATTCTAAGATGTTTTTTCTACCTTCCTCATCTTTCTCAGATATCTATTTCTGTTTGTTTTCATGTTGGTCTTTGGAAAGGACTTTGTGCTACTAGTTAGAAAACGTCTTTTCCATTATTTTAATATTTCTATAATGTGAAATGCCGTTATGGGTGCGTGACCTGTAACACAAGCGAGGATCTAGAGAGGAGGAGACAACGTCAGGAAGAGAAAGTCCGATCAGACACACAGGTGTGGACAGGAAGTGACTAGAGGTGTTGACAGGAAGTGATCAGAGGCAAAGCACAACATCGACAGCTGTTCTTAAGAGTTCTAATCAGCATCAAAAACGTCCTTAAATCGCCATCAATAATATCACTAAGTTCGTAGGTGTTCATAAAGAGCTGGGTCTTTAGCTTTGTCTTAAAGGTGCAGAGGGACTCTGCCGATCGAATGTAGTTTGGAAGTTCGTTACACCACCGGGGAGCGACAGAGGAGTAAAGAGTCTTAGGACCCTTTTGTGAAGTAAGAATTTGTTCAGTCCAGATTTAGCTATTGTGCTAATTCCGACATGTTGTGTTGACATGACATGTGCTGGCATGTTGATTGATGTGCACAATGTGTCCTTTTTCAGAAAATTAATAAATAAGAATTGAAATAAAGAGGGCCATAAAAATCTACTTTGTGACTCATCAATTAAAAACTTAACTGAAGAACGCCGACTTCAAAGTTGCTTTTCGGTGACTAAACCTTTTGAACTGTATTTCTTTATTCCGCTGCGGGCATGAACTGGCAGAGTAATTCACATTTTGGATCACAACACACATAGTTATGGTTTTCCACTTTGTGCTGAGAAGCATCGGCTCGTTGAAGCTCTCTGTCCAAACTTGCAGCTGTCGAGCACGTCTGCTATCCGACGATCGTCAGGTCTGCAGCAGGAAGTTCATGATGATGTCACCGCCATGTCTGCACTGTTGGACGCGGTGCAGGTGGAAGTCGATTGTCATGGTTTCAACATCGGATTTAATTTAAACACACTGTTTAGATCTTATTTCTCCTTCACTGCCAGCACTGCAGGAAGCCACTCGTTACTCGCTCCGATGGGATCTAATCCTTAGAGAGAGTTTATGGATCCCTTTCTTCTGTTTGTTTGTCACAAAGTGCACCAGATCAGGACCGCTGCAGCATATTAAGCTGTTGTCACACCATAAATTCAGTCTATACCCTGCTGCTGTGACACTCCAAAAGCAAGCCATGACACTGTTCAAGCAGACAATAATCTACTCTAGTAACTGAGTAAACCCAGACGATATCCTTCTGCTGCGACGCTATGAAAACAGATAAACAGACACTTCAATATTACACAATATCCTGCTGCGGTTATAGACTATGTCCATGTTTACACAACAATGATTTCAGCTGAAAACGCTACACCTGTTCATTAACACGGCAAGAGCGTTTTGAAAACAGCACAGTCTCATGTAGTTCCTCTGAAAACAGACATTTTTTCATGACATCACAAAGGGCAGTAACCCCTCCCCCGGGTGGGTGACACTCCCACAGCTAGGTGTTTGTTCTGCCTTCTCACCGTAAACAATAGGACATGGAGCGAGAAAGCCCGAGTACACCCAAGTCCTTCCAGAGAGGGGGCGTGGTCAGACACAGCTCATTTACATTTAAAGGTACAGACACAGAAACCGCCTGTTCTGAGCAGGGCTGAAATAGAGGTTTATAGGCATGATCAAATACAGGATCAGAGTGGATTTAGAACAAGAAACTTCACACACATGTTTTGAGGAGCTCTGAGACTTATTTACGCTGGTTGAAAAGGAGGAGAATATGTGACCTTTATTTTTTTGATTGGTCTCCTACGCACCTGACCAGGGGAGAGATGAAAATAAAGATTTTTAGTTATAACGCCTGCCCATAAAGTCTCTTAACACTCGTCGGTTATTTCTGTCTTTTACAGTAGTTTGCTGTTTGGAGAGAAAAGTCATCACTTTTTGTTGTTGGCTCCCATCGTGTTTGCTCTTCCTTAATGTTCACAGTAGGTATGCTAAGTGCCTGTGTGTTAACCAGGAACACTGTGTGTTGGATACACATCTGTGAGGAACATATTTCCTGCCCCCTCCCGTGTTTTATTTATTCTGGAGCTACATCTAATGATTTTTTTTTAAACTTCAAAATCCCCTCATTTCTTCCTGTAAGAAGAGTCGATGCTGCCGTCACAAACAGTGTGAGCCTCACAGTTTCTGCAGGAGGTCACATCAACATCAGAGAGTTTAGTCTTCTTAAATCGAGTGATGATTGGTACGCTATTGAGTTTTCTTGTTGTAGAAAATTGAAGATTAAAAAGTCTCCCCGTGTCCCCTGCAGGTTGTGATTCTGGTTTCGGGAACGCGACTGCAAAGCGTCTGGACGCTCTGGGCTTCGAGGTGTTTGCGACGGTGTTGGACCTGTCAGGAGACGGAGCCAGAGAGCTGCAGAGGACCTGCTCCCCACACCTCACCCTCCTCCAGGTGGACATCACCCAGCCGCAGCAGGTCCAACAGGCGCTGCTCGACACCAAAGCCAAACTGGGCCTCAAAGGTAGAGACAAACAAATGTTTTTGTTTGATACTGTGTCTCATGAGCATGCATGTTTTCCCTGAGATGTATCTGGGCAGTATGAGGAGTGTTTGAGCGATACCTTATGTTGGCTTCACAATAAACAATTTTCAAATCTTAACCGATTTTTAAAAAATTGCTAAAATAAAAAACTTGGGAGACCACAGACATGAGGACAGATTCAGCTGGTTTGAATATTATAATTCTCCCAACATATGGGGGCTGGTGCATTATTTTCCAGGTGGAGGCGCAAATAATCACAGATATTAGCTTGATGCTAGCACATAATGGAAATAGCTATTAACCGGCTAACAGAATTAGCATTGCCATCGAGGTAATTTGAAGTTAAACAATCTTTTTTCTCAACATTACAATGTTCCATCGAGTCTGTAACTCCACTGTTGCATCATTGGTTGAAGGGCCGTAGCCTGATCAGCAAATCATGTTGGTGATGTTGGTGGTCTCACGTTTCACACACACACACACACACACACACACACACACACACACACACACACACACACACACACACACACACACACACACACACATATCAGAGTACACACAGAGTCTCTGTGGTCTCTGATTGGCTGGGACCTGCAGCTCCCACCGGCTTTGTAGTTAGACAGTACTGGCCACAGGCTTTATCTCAGAGTCATCTAAGGACAGTGTGTGTGTGTGTGTGTGTGTGTGTGTGTGTGTGTGTGTGTGTGTGTGTGTGTGTGTGTGTGTGTGTGTGTGTGTGTGTGTGTGTGTGTGTGTGTGTGAAAGAGATTGAGTGGGCGGTGCATGTAATAAAAGAACAAGAGGGAAAGGTCACTAAACTCACTCCCATGCACTTAATCTGGAACTGTACTTGGATGTGTTTATTTATTTGTGTGTGTATATGTGTGTGTGTGTGTGTATGTGTGTGTGTGTGTGTGTGTGTGTGTGTGTGTGTGTGTGTGTGTGTGTGTGTGTGTGTGTGTGTGTGTGTGTGTGTGTGTGTCTTGTGCAGTCTGTGTTCAGAGGAAACTAAAATGACGGCAGGTTTGCCTGTGTTTTTCTCCGCAACAGTCAAACTAACGCGAGCCAAACTTTTTGAATGCACAGATTTATATGGAGAGAAAAATAATATTTGCAATTTTCCTCTTTAAAAAAACCCCATTTCATTTCATTTATCAAGAAGTTCCTCATTAATACACGTAGATACAGAAAAGATAAATGTATCATGCATTCAGTGTTCACTCGCATATCATTTATATTCGAGACATGAGCTAATCAGACCTATTTGGTTTTTTGAACCAGGCTGTAAACATGTTAATGTCTGCTGTAAAAACAGGCTTTTTAGAATGGGTGTGTATGTGACTTCCTGTGCTTCTGCAGCCAGCCTCTAGTGGACACTTGAGGAACTGCAGGATTTTGCACTTATGCTTGGGCTTCTTTTAAAACTCTGGAGGTTGCATGCTTCTTGGCTCGGTGTGCTCCTCTCATTTAGATCCTTACCCATAACAAAATGAGTTTATTGAAGAATAGTTTTTTATTGTTTATGATTTTATGAAAAGAGTTGATTGTTTTTCTCAGACTTTAATTTCCTTTAAGACAATATAACTTCCTTTAACCTTTAAAATCCTGATTCTTGAAAACCTAACCATCCTAAAGACCTACAGAAGAAATAAACCAGGCAGCCATTTCCTCTATGAATTATCCTTTTCTCTAAATGAAATACACTCTGTCTGTCAGTCACCTGTTGATCTGTTGCCTCGCTGTGAATGACCAGAGTTCACTCTGGTGCACACAGGAAGTCACCTGGGCGGGTCGTTCAGTGTTTTTGACTGTCTGCCAGCTTGGATGTTCTTTTCCTGGTTATCATTCATCGGCTCGGGAACAGTTCAGCCTAAACAAAGCTGCTTCAGCCGCTCGTTAAACAAAGCGTGGGATTCTGGGTCAGCCGCGCTTGGATGAGGGCGAGCGAGGCTTGTTTACACTTGCAGAGAGAGAGAGAGAGAGAGAGAAGGAGGTTGACCTCATGGTGTAGTACAGGCGAACATTTTGACTGTGATTACAGTCTTATCTGTACAGAGGGGACTGCAGGGCACAGAGAGAGAGAGAGAGAGCACCACTTACATAAACAGAAACATGATCTGTATCACATGTTCACAGTTTGAACTTCATCCTCCAGCTTTCAGAAATCACTTTCCATAACTTGATTCGACTTGATTTGTTCACAGTGTCGTGCTTTATAATAATCCCCGTCCAAAAACAGACTTAAAGGGCGCCATTGTTTTCATGAATAAGCGGAGAAACTTAAAGACAGACGTACAGTTCAAATCACGTTGAGGAGATAAATCATCCTGACATTTTGTTCCAAGCTCCAGAGATAACAATTGGCAAACTAACCGGCGTTTCAGTTAAACAGGTGTTGCCTGAAAAACGGCACTCAAACATTTAAGGGTTCAGAACATGTTTTATTTATTATACACGTTTTCACTCATGACAGACATGACATGACTCGGCATGTGGCGTTCATCAGGGTCGGCTGAAAGACGTCGATCTTATAAGTTAATAAAGTTGATCTTCATACTAAAAGTGTTGAGTGTTGCTGGAGCTTTTTGACCTCTTCAAGCCTTTCCCTCTCCATGCACCTTGGTAGTTTGTGAAGTTGTGCCAGAAAATAAAAGATGAGCTAGCGATACAAGAAGGCTACCTCTCTCAGTCTCCTGCATGATTAAGACTGAAGAAACATAAACCTCAGTGAAATTATGAAATCCCCGGGTCACTCCGGCTTCCTCCCACAGTCCAAACACGTGCTCGTTAGGTTAACTGCTGACTCTAAATTGCCCGCAGGTGTGAATGTGAATGTGGCTGGTTGTCTGTCTCTATATGTCAGCCCTGTGAACTGGTGAACAGTCCAGATGTAACCACGTCTCTCGCCCAATGACAGCTGGGATCGGCTCCAGCCTCCAGTGACCCAGAACTGGAAATGCGGTTAAGATAATGGATGGATGTATAACAAAAACATTTTCCATCTGCACTGTGAAATGTAAACACTGGATCATTAGCTTTAAACAGCTAAAGACATTCTGGTTTGTTTGCACAGCCCTTCAAGTGATTATATTAAGAGGGGTCTCTCCAACTGGCTTGGCTGTCCAACAAAAGCAAGATCAAATTAGTGATTTGAAGATGTAATTTGTTGACTCGTGTCCTCATATTAGGCACAGTCAAATATTATTTCTGGTGTGGATCTTGACTGTGCACGAGCTGTGTTTGAGATGCTGTTCGCCTGTCCCGAACGAAGGCAGGGTCGTTTCATACGCTGAAGAAGATAAAAAGTCTGAACTAAGTTTTTGCAATATTCTAATTCAGCTTTGCAACCCTTTTAGACACCAAATCATCTTACTTATTACATAAAAGATTCAATAAAGATGAATGTTTGTTTGTTTGTGAAGAGCGTCTGAAGTATTCCAGATTAAAAAATGCACATTGTGTGCTCCGACTTGCTTCCACACGTCTTTTCCGACTGCAAACAGCTTTGTTATCTGCAGTGCAAACACACCTCTAATCACCGTTTTGTGTGTGTGTGTGTGTGTGTGTGTGTGTGTGTGTGTGTGTGTGTGTGTGTGTGTGTGTGTGTGTGTGTGTGTGTGTGTGTGTGTGTGTGTGTGTATTTGTGTGGCAGGTCTGTGGGGTCTGGTGAACAATGCCGGCGTGTGTGTAAACTTCGGAGACGCCGAGCTGTCCCTGATGTCCAACTTCCGCGGCTGCATGGAGGTCAACTTCTTCGGCACCCTGAGCGTCACCAAGAGCTTCCTGCCGCTGCTGAGACACGCCAGAGGTCGCATCGTCACCATCTCCAGCCCTGCCGGTGTGTGCCCCACACACACACACACACACACACACACACACACACACACACACACACACACACACACACACACACACACACACACACACACACACACACACACACACACACAGAGGTGCTGTAATAAATGGTAATTGAATGTTCCAGGAGAAGTGAACCACAGATGAACTGACTGCTGCCTTCAAACGGCCAAACCAAACAAACAGAGCTGCTGCTCGTCTCCTCCGACTGTTTATCCAACTGAGCACAACCAAATCAATCACCGGCGTTCACCTCCTCCGCAGACATATTTATGCGTCTGCAGGTTCTTAGATTTCGCAAATGTTGTGTGTGCACGGGCCCGATTGTATTTTTTTTACATAAAAGCGGTCAGAGTTCATCCGCTGAAAAACGTATCAGTGATCGAATAATCCAGCCTCATAAAGGGATCATAAAGGATCCGTCATGTAACCAATGGGGATATCTAATCAGTCACAGGACCTTACGATGAAAGGATTTCTATTATTACACCTCAGATAAAGACTGATATATCCTGCAGATTGCAGATCCTGTAAGTGGTGCCTGCATGCAGAGACAGATCAAAAGAAAAGTGATTTTATCGTTTCCCCTCATCCTGAGTGCTGATTTACTGATCTGAAAAGATGTTAGAAAAGCTGTAAAACTTTCCTGTTATGCAAAAGGAAACAATGCTTGTGCACTTTTAAGTGATGCCAACTTGATCTGTCAGCTACAGTCCGTAGCACACTGAAAATAACTGTAAATAAATAAATGTGTGAACAACGTTTCGCCTGCAGCTTCCTCAAGTTCCCCTAGCCTTGTTCCTGCCACCGCCTGCACCTGAGAACGTGTTTAGGCTGTGCACCAGACACCCTTCTGGCCATTTAGATAGGTCTGTAACAGCATTTGTATTCGATAGCAACACGACATGATGCAGCTACAAGACCTGCCTGCTTCTTTAAAGAGGACATCTTATCCCCCTTTTCCACCAAACTGTCCCCTGTGGTCTAAATGAAATTGTTACACATTTAGCTAAAAAAAAAAAAAAAAAAATAGCACATCAAAGATGCACTTAATATGTGAAAAGATGAGAAAACAAGGGATACTGATTTTGGATTTTTAAGGTCTATTTTTAGAGTTATTTAAAGAAAAGGTGTGATGGGAGATCTATCGTCTTTATCTCCACCTTGCAGAGTATTTTAGATATATGTGCATTTATTTCTGCGGGGAGATGGATCTGTTGCTTAACAATCTCACAAAAAAACCACTTAAGAAAGTAAGTTATGCTGAGTGATTAACTGATAACGTTTGCTGCCGTTTAGTCACTTAATAAATCCCTGGTGTGCGATGTGTGTTTCTGGTAATGTGACCGTGCAGGTGAGAGCGTGTTCCTGGAACGCCTCGCTGTTCACAGCAACATGTCCTCCTCACAAAGACTCCTTTATCTCAGAGCCGGAGGGGAAACCACAGATTAAAACAGCCTGTGATCTGAACCCGCAACCTATAATTACACGCATGATTATCCTCCGCCTCTTCCTCCTTTTTTTTCTCGTCCTCGAGCGTTCTTTGAGCATTTCCCGGCTGCGAGTGGATCAAAACCCTGCAAAGTTTGCTTTTGTAGATCGGCTGTCTGACGATGAGATGAGGTATCCTCGGTGACTTGGGGAACAGTCTGCATGATTCTGCTTACACTGTGAATGAAGCAGATGCATAAAGGCAGCGGTCAGCAGAGAACCAACAAACACAAAACTGACAGGACGAAAACAATGCATCATCAAACATGTAAAACACAAAAGAATAACATCAAAGAAACAGTAAAAAGCACTCCAGGAAAACTATTTATTTTTGATCGTTCTTGTGTTTTCAGGTGACCAGCCGTTCCCCTGCCTGGCTGCATACGGAGCCTCTAAAGCAGCTCTTAACCTCCTCACCAACACTCTGCGACACGAGCTCGAGCCGTGGGGGGTCCAAGTGTCCACCATCCTGCCCTCCGCATACAAGACCGGTAAGAGCACACCTCCACACCTCCACCCAGCAGCTCCAAGTTTGTTCAGTCCTCCTGTTTTTATGCACTTTTTTTTAAAAGCTCTGCATTGAAATATATTTTGTATAAATGCTGGGGGAAAAAAAGAGCTTCCTGTTGCATGTTGCAAAGTAAACATTAACAGACAGAAAACATAGAAAAAGGGATTTAAGGTTCAAGTTACTCATGCGTACAAAAATGTGAAACACAGTGAAAAGAAGCAGGCAGCTCAGACTGATTACAAGTTACGAGTTACAACTTTGACCAAAATAATCTATAATTAATCTTTTTGTTTGTGGCTCAGCGTAAGGAGTTTAGCTTGGGTAAACTGGTCCACAATTGTACATATCTTGTGTCTAAATGACTAAGAGGGACAAAAGGGGCACGAGGTAGCCTAGTGGTTAATGATGGATGTAGATCATGACTCCCCAATAGGCATTTATGACCCTAAATATGTGAAAAAAGTAAATAGGGTCTAAACTGTTGGGCATGCCCTTAAAAGCGTAGGGGCTTCCTGTCAGTGAGAGAGGGAGAGGAGGTGAACAGAGAGCGAGGGGAAGTGGGAACAGAAATAATTTAAACTTTATTATAACAAAACAAACATATGAAGGAGTCCACACATTGGATTTCATTTCCAGATGTGATATAAAAGGTAACAGGAGATGTTGGAGGGAGTAACAGAGAAACTGATCGATCAGGACTGAACCAAACTCCTCGTCCTGATGGTTTGGCCCCATGGCAGGCTGAACATGATGACAGGTCTCCCTATGAAGACAACACTGTTTTAATGAGGACCACATGTGGGACGGATCGTCTGTTTTTCCACACACTAAGACAGTACAAAGAATAAATAACTGACATCACATTTTGAAACTCCTGCAGAATGGAGGGATGTGATTTGAGAGCCAGACTGTTGGCCAACAGTTTTCTTCTTCTTACTTGTTTTCTTTGAGCTCTAATTCTCTGTGGTTGAAAAAATAAAATCCCTGTGCACTGTTGGTTGTTGTGTTCAGGGGACTTTACCAGTAGAAAATATAGCGCAGCTGTGAAGGCCAGTGGGCGAAGTAGTATTTAGATAATGATCTGGTGAGTCATTGGACGCAGCTCGGCACACTTTATCCTCCTGTTCTCACTTTAATCCTGAAGGAACAGGTTTGTGTTCAAACTCGTAATCCTGCCGTTACTCTTGGGGGGGTTTCGGAGCTGCTCCTTTTGGCCGTCGGCCGACCGAGTCGATGAACTTTATTCAGAATTTGTGTTGACATCCTGCTTGCTGCGTCCACTCTCCACTTTTACACGTAACACTGTTTGCAATCGGTTGTGCTGAGTCACGCAGCACAGCGTTAAGTTGTAACTCATTGTGTTACAACATGCGGTTTGTGTATCTGCTCCAACTCAGGCTGCTGGGGTCTTAGAGGAAAACTCTTTGCATACATGTCTTGAAGTTAAACTGCAGAATAAACTGCTGTCTCTCTCTACCTGCCGATTGTAAAAGCTGGAAGGTCCAGGTTGCAGACTGCATAACATCGTGTAGCTTAATTCAGAAAGACTGCTACAATAATTCAACATTTGAGGGGACTCCATTTGAATTCCATTTAACCCCATATGGGCTCTGGACCCCAAGGCTGGGAGAGCCTGACACATTGGATCTCACGGCCCCGCCATGTGTCTTTATCTGGACTGTATATCTGACGTCCTCCTTCCTCTACTCGCTGCAGATTAAATGAGCTGAAGAAATACGATCACCAAACTAAAGCTCAACACATGTTTAGAGTCAGAGTCCTAAACTGCACCTTCATCACGGTTCACTGTGTTCTCATGAAACCACCTGGACGCAATCAAGTCCAGCCACTGCTTGGCCCTCTCATTCCAAACATTCACAACCTGCCAAGAACCTGCGTCACCTTCGATAACAAGCTCACCTTTTGCCAAAACATGATGAAAAATGTTACTATCATGTTTGGAGCAAGTCAGGACTAAATCAAAGAAAAGAGAAATGTATTTTTCCCAACAGTCCCAACAAACTGAGCTACTGCCGGCCCACTGCACTGGTTACTGATTTTTTTCAGCCTCTGTATCAAAATCTAATGAACTACTATCGCGGTTTTGCTCGGCTGACACTACAGTACAACTTTAAACCCTTAATGTCCAAAGAGATCTCTTAGGTCAGCTTGGTTTGGTCTGTTGGCTGCACCATGGTCCGAGTAAAGGACCAGAAACTGTCATTCTGGATCATTCTCTCTCATCCAGGTCTACACTACGCTCTGCCAATGAGAGGCGTCTGATCCACAACAGGGTCCTAAGACGCTGACTAGACTCTTCTCCTCTGTTGAATGAACTTCCAAACTCCATTCGATCTGCAGAGTCCCTCTGCACCTTTAAGAAAAAGCTAAAGACCCAGCTCTTTCATGAATACATAATAACCTAATGATGATAGTCTCGATATTATTGATGATGATGATGATGACGTAATGACGATGGTTTTTGTTTGATAACGACGACTTATAAGATGGTTTCTATACTGATTAGAGCTCTCAAGAACTGCCCTCAATGTTGTGCTTTGCCTCTGGTCACTTCCCGTCAGCAGCTGTGTGTCCAATCAGACTCAAAGCTGATCGTTTGCTCTTACTGACATTGTTCCCTTTTTTCTAGATCCTTGCTTGTGTTGTGCTTACTCTCTGATGTACGTCTGCTAGGTGAATTGTAGAATTGTAGAATCTTCAGGTTTCGTTCAGTTAGTGTTTAATATGCCGACAAAGTTTCTGCTTTTAAATCCCGACCAACCAAATGACCAGCTGTGCTTTCCAAAAGCCTTAAAAAACGTTTGTGCCCGTCATTTGGTGCAACCTCCTGATTTTGAGTTTCTTTGAATGTTTGTTTGAATGTTTTTCACCTCAACACGGTCCCCTTCTTGACTTAAATTCTCAACTTTCCTAATCAGGGTTGTTCACTGAATGTTTTGCCTTAACTATCTAACGAATGAGATAAATAGATCCAACCTAACTTCTGCGTTATGTTGTATTTTCTCTTTGTGTTGCTATGGTAACACTGAGCTCCGCTCTCCCTGCAGGTCAGTCCAGTAACCACGCCTACTGGGAGCAGCAGCACAAACAGCTCCTGCAGGGAATGTCTCCGGCGCTACTAGAGGAGTACGGCGAGGACTACGTGACTGAGACCAAGGAGCTGTTCCAGAGCCACGCCAGCCAGTCCAACCCCGACCTCAGCCCCGTCGTCGACACCATCGTCCAGGCGCTGCTGTCGCCGCAGCCGCAGGCGAGTTACTACGCGGGGCCCGGCATTGGCCTCATGTACTTCATCTACAGCTACTGCCCCTTCAGCATCAGCAACCGCTTCCTCCAGAACCTGTTTGTGAAGAAGAAGGTAATGCCGCGTGCTCTGAGGAAGCAGTCGGGCTACAACCTGAACCTCAGCCTCCACAACAACAACAACAACAATGAGGGGAAGCTAAAATAACTGTGAGACTGTAGAAACCTCCTGCAGCCATAGAGGACCACTTCTGTATTGCACTCATAGAGCTGTTTCCTTTTCTTTTTTTTTGTATTTCAAACTGTTGAAGGGATCATAGTGATGCACCAAAATGGTTTCTGATTGTTTCTGGCCTGGCCTCAAAACGCCCCCGGAGAGGACAGGAATGGAGAGCAAGGACACACCTGCAGGGTCGTTGGGTAGGGTGGGGGTAATGGTAGAGGTAGCGGTAGCTGTGCAGCTGCAGTTGGAGCAGCGAGATGAGCTGTACTGTACACACACACCGAGAGTCGCTCTGACTTCATGTGCCTTCATCACAGCAACACACAAGATGGAAAAGGGGGGGACATACAAGTCTGAATCGAGCACTACAGCAGCTTGTTTTAAACAGGTTGAACTTAAATTGAATGAAAAACTGCCAAAAATGTGGATGCAGGCCAATTCCAGGGGCTGCAGATAAATCAAACTGGGTCTTTTTGTCATCAGTATGTCCTCCTTCTAACTTTAGATTCTGGTCCTGAATGCTCTGGATTTGTTTGGACCAGAGAAGTTATGCGCTTTTAAGGCGACCCCACATGGCTGTTTTGGACGCCCCTCGGTTTGCCAGATATGAGAGCAGTTATCAGGTCAACAGGTGTTGCAGCGATAGAAGCGGGCAAGAGAAGTGGTTCAGATAGAAGTGATTGTACTCGACCTAAAAAGCCTCTGCATGTTTCTAATAAGCTCCACGAGCAGAAACGTGCTCAAACTAGGATCAATATTGGAGATGATTTTGAAAAATGGAGAGAGGTTAGAACACAGAAAGGTTTACAGACCGATGCAGAGCTGGATAAACACTGAAGCTTCAGTGTCCACCACATGGTGACCTGCATGAGCATCGACTCTAGAGAGGAGGGGGCGGGAGGAGACAGCTCTCTATAATGTTTAGAATTTGGACTGCAGTACCCATTTGAAACACTAGGTGTCAGAGTTACATGCTGCTCCTTTAAATTCTTAGGTAATAAACAACAAGAGGATAGTTGATTTTTTTCTCTAAAGCAACAAAACTCTGACTCCACTCATGTGGTACATCAGGAGCCTTTAAACATACCCACTCAATAAGACAAGCTGCTGTAGTGACACCTCCGATCATCAGCCCACATATTGATAACTCTCTGTTTGAAAGTTATCCACGTTGAAATGGAAGAACATATCTCCACCTGTAACCTCTGAGTCTGTGCACCTTTTCACCGATACTTCTGCATGCAAGCGGCAGAAACACTGACACTGAATCCTCCAGACTAAAGCCCTTTTCAGACTGCTGCGATATTTACAACATTACGATATTCACCTTCAGTCAAAATAAAAGCACAAACACTTTAATGGATCTAGGTTTTAAAACTTAATTTCATTGCTCTATAACAGCATTTTAACATGATCAGATTTGGACTGATTTTCATGATAGATCAGATACTTCCGCATATTTATCAGAAAATAAAACTAAATAAGTGTGCTTTAATTAAAATGTGGAACAAACAACGTTTTCTTATTCTCCCAGCTGGAGGTGTATGAATTTTCTTTCTCCACAAATAATTTAATTTTGATTTGATGAGTTCAAACCACAGAAACACAGACTAGTTTATCGATTCAGACACTGAGTGTATCTCCACATCGAGGCTCTTATAACGTCATCTTTGTGTTTTTTCATCATTAAATATGTGAACATTTTAAAACACCGTCCTTATTCCAAACAGGTCTTGTATTGCGGTGCGGATGGAAGTGTGAGAGAGGGAATATTTTTGATAAATATATATATATACTGTATATACAGTATATATTTGCACTTCTACGTTCTTTGAGTGTGTTGTTCTCTGTGGGAAACCGTCCGTCTCTCAGCAGATCCTCAGACATTTATTTTTATTTTCAGCCCACGTTTTGTTTTTTTGGAATCAAACTATTTATGACTTGTTTCTCTTTTATCAGCACTTAAACTGTGAATTTTGTATTTAAAGAAGTTTTTTTTAAAACAACAAAAAAATATGATGTAAAATGTTCTTTTGGTTCATTCTTTGATAGAAAATAAAGTTGACTTTTTCAGACTTTGGCCTCGTTTGCTCTTCTTTTATAGGAGTGGAGGTCGTTGGGTTTTAAGATTCGTTAAACATCCCCAGAGTGAAACAAGAAGAGATCGGCTTTATTAAGTCATTTGGATGTTGCAAATGTGCGAGGACAGTTGAGATAAGGCGGTTGTTCAGTGGTTCGCAGTGGTGTAGTGGTGGCTGAAGAAGTGGGCCTACTCTTAGTTTTTCCCCAAGTGTCCCGTCCAGCGGAGGATAAACTGCCTCTGTTACTAACAGTGACATAAGACTCCTCTTGCATATTAAGTTAGTGCATACTAGCCAATTAGAGACAGAGTAGGGAGGGTCATCCCTTCAACATCCTATTGAATATTTTGTCAATCAATTAATGTTGTGAATTAGAGGAGATTTAGAAGTGGGTATGGAGACTGAAAATAGGTAGGTACACTCTGTATACCTGCAAAATACCCTGCACTACACCATTGGTGGGTCCTCTATAAACCGGAAGATTAAGGGTTCGATTCCCAGCTCCTGCAGCCACATGTCCGATGTGTCCTTGAACAAGACACTTAATCCCAAAATGCTCCCGCTGCTGTGTCAGTGCGTGCAAAATGTGAATGACCTATTTTGTTAGGCCTCGTGTCCACCTAGCGTTTTTTTTCTGAGCGCCAGCTTCTTTCAGCCCTTCTCAGGGGGCAGCTCCGCCTCCACGGAAGAGTTCAAATCAGATGGCATATAAACATCCATGCTCAGGGCCATATGACACACCATTGTAATCCTTAAAAGCTCAGCTAACTAGCAAGCAAGAACAATTCCACCAAAACAAAACACAACTCAAACCCCAAGCAGCAGCCTGAAGAAATATCAAAAAGCATTTATAACCTAACTATCTTACATTACATGCCAGATGCACAAATGGCCACTTGAATGAGAGCTGAGACTCCACAGATTCTAACAGTATCTTGTTTTCACTCAGAAACCAAATCTCACTGAGTAAACAGCCAAAAAAAACAGAAAAAGCTAAATTCACTTTTTTCCAGTTTCAACCAAAATTTCTGTCTTACCTTTGTTGTTTTTGCAATCAAACGTTTTCCTGGTCCAATGTCTCCTGGTAAATGTGTTTTCCTCTTATATATTTATTTTAATATCTTGTTGCTTTTATATGTCGTATTTTGTTTTATTTTATTGTATTTTATTTTTAATTTCTTGGTGTGCATTGGTCTCTCACTGATTTTATAAACTACTTTTTGTCAATAACTTTTCTGCACTCTTGTTAAGCACTTTGAACTGTAATTTAATTTGTCTGAAAGGTGCTATATAAATAAAGTTTGATTGATTGATTGATTGATTTACTCAGTTGCATTCGCATTATACAAGTCGGGTATGGCTGCATCCTGGCGCGCTCTCATCTGTGTGCTCTCGTCTCATGTGCTCTGGTGCCCCGCTCCTCCAGAAATTAACAACGGCAAGTGCGCTGGGTTAAGAAGCAGTTTACGAACTCGCGCATTAATTAATATTTACAGTCTATGATTAATTCAAACATTACCACGGCGCCAAAAGAAGATAAGAGTGTAGAAGATGGTGAAAAAGATGGAGTCACGTGCTCGAGGTTTGCAAGAAGCCCAAATTAATGAATGAACGAAAAGACGTTCAAATGAGTCACGCAGAGGGGAGAGTTAGAGCGCCGTTTGTTTCAACAGCTGAACCGACGCTGCTGATTGAGCTGTGTGTTTATACATAACTCAAAAAGCACATACACATATAGAATGGCGAAATTGCTTATTTTTTATTTAGTCTTGAATGTATAAGTACGATGGAGGACTAGGGCCACGTTACATTTGTTTTTTTTTATTTCGAGATTAAAGTCGTAAATTTATGAGTTTAATCTCACAAATTACGAGTTTAATCTCAAAATTTAAAAAAAAAAATATATTTTTAACATGGCCCTAGTCCTCCATCGTATATAAGCACCTAGTATGTTTGTAATATATCACATGTACACTACATATATTTTTATTTCCGGAGCTTTATGTTGAAAATTAGAAGCTCAGGAGGCTCGGCTTCAGGCACACAGACGAGAGCACACAGAGGAGAGCACACAGAAGAGAGTAGACAGGCTGCAGACTTAGGTCGTGTTCACACTTGACTTCCTTTTTCAACTGCAAGCGCCTTTTTTACATAGAAGCCTATGGAAAATGGAAAAAGGATGACGCCTTTTCAAAAAGCGCTGCGCCCGACGCCTTTTTCAGTTGAATTATTTCAACTTTTCAGAAAAGCGCTCGGTGACGTCAAGCGCTTTTCTGACAGCTGACCTATCAGGACGAGTAGTAACCTACGTCCCTAGTTACCTGTGCCCAACAACAGCAAACTTCCACCAGATATGTGTGCATTGCGTGTCCGCTCCGGTCCGTGCCTCCTCATCCGTCAACACCCACCGGCTGCGTTCTCAGTCTGCAGCACGGAGAGCACAGCCGGACAGCTGGAGTCTGAAGACAAAGCAATTTCCGCGGTAATTTAACAGATTCACTCATGACAGCACGAGATAATACGATGTACGTGGTATAAAACTCAATACAAACCTTATAAACACTTAAACAAACACACAAACGGTCGTTTTTCTGAACCGTCAAAACGGAGGGTGTTATTCTGAAAATAAACGTTGTTTTAATGTTGTATCGGTGTCTGACTTCCCGTCCCGCTTGTTCTTTTCTGTGCTAAATTGATGCGTTGCGCTCCGGTCGGCTCCGGCGCTGTTGCACCGCAGACTAGATCCTGTTGTTAAGGTTACAGAACACTTGCACGTAAGCGATCAAAAGGCGCTGAAGGCAGCGCTTTTTTCGGAAAAAAGAAGTCAAGTATGAACACGGCCTTTGAGTCTAGCATTCTACAGTGCTAGAGCTTTCCATAGGGGGGCTGGGCTTCTGAATTGACTAATAGGATGCAGAGATAACATTTTGCGTATCGGTTCTGTTGCTAAGGCTCACAGGCAGATTATCACACTCCAGAACGCATAGCGCACGGCAGCTACAGCGAATATAGCACACACAGCAAACTTTGAGCAACATTCTTTTAAAAATCAACAATGTCCGGCCAGAGAGGAAGGAAAAAATATTATTATGTACCAGAGATACTGAAATTGCTAACATCTGACAGCGGAACTGCAAAATTTCCAGTGGAAATATATATATATATATATATATAAATTCCGCCTGAACATTCTTGTACTTAAACCTCTGTAATTCTGCTCTACTTCACTTTATTTAGCTCAAACTTTGCACTGGTAATGTCAGGATGTTTATTTATGGATTCCAATAGAGCTACAGAGGCTACTGCAGCATTCAACAGGTAATATTTACTCATAAAATTAAAAATAAATTTAGGCGGACATAAAATCTTACATTTATGCTATGTTCCATCTGTATTTACTCTGTCACAGTAACAGATATACATTCGATCTTACACTTTCTAGGTAAATCTCTAAAGAGTTATCTTTATTATGATAACAAGTTTATTCTTATAGACCTT